CTCTTAATTTGGAGTGGTTTGAATGATACATAGTTTACTGTTTTCATAATTATTTTTTATATATTTATGTATTTAATAGTTTTCATAATCAATTTTTTTTCCTTTAGGAATCGTATATGTCGTTCATAGTGATCTGAGCTTTAAACATCCTCTGGTTATACGAAAGTTCTTCCTTGGCTGGGAAGTCCCACACTTTATTGTCTATTCCTCTTATATTCCTATTGCGTTCTCTTCGACCATATTTCTATATTCTTTCTTATAGGTCTTTCGGCTATCCATTCTCTTCTTCTTTCTTTTGTTAGTTATCACTACTTCTTTCACTTTATCTCTCGTTCACCAGATATCTCTTTTTCCTATCTCTGTGTCATTTATATTCGCTACTTTTCTGATTTCTGGAATGTTTCCGCTCTTTTTCGCACTGTCCTTCCTTTGCTCTCTTCCTTTTCGCTGACTATCTCTATCTCTGGTTCTCTTTCTCTCTCTCTCCATCTTTTCTGGCCTTCTGTTCTCTATCACTCAGACTCTTTTTCACGCCTTTTTTCACTTCACTTCCTCGACTTTACAAACTCTCTATCATCCCTTTAGTCTCTAGCTCTCTTCCACTATTGTTTCTTCTTTCGATATATTTCCATTTTCCTCCATCCATTACACATTTGCAGCCATCCCCTTCAACAGTGCAAGCAAATCATATCCAACAATTTGTTAAATAAATGACTCCACTTTGCAGCAACTCAGCTGCACAGCAACTACAATTTGATCGCATATTAAAGGCAATTTGAGGAGATACCGAGCTACAATGAAAACGTTTCATTTCATATTTGCAACTGATCTGGAGATCTGGCAACAATCTTAGACCGGATCTGGCCACAGCATTTAATAATGGTTTCAATTTTTCCATCTTGCTGCGAATACTACACAAAACTGCAATGGAGCGTGAATAACTGAGTAGTATATATATATATAGATATACATGTATCTAAATATTTGTATAAAAACCAGTTTTACTGTGCCGTGTCTCAAGACACATTGTGAGGCCCGTTGAGCTGTTGTGCCCATAGAGCATGCAAATCGGCAGCGTTATTAGTCATTATGTGGTTCCGCACATATGCGGCAATGGAATGAAACTGAATCCGAATCCGAATCGGAGCTAAATATTGGTTCGGCCTTCATGCTACCCGTTGAGCCAGCAGCCAGCTCCAATCCATTTGGATGGGGAGGGCAGGAGGCGTCGAAAATTGTTAAATGATTAAATTAGATTTGCTTGCAAGACCAAACAAGCTGCTGAAATGCATAATAATTAGCAGAGAGCATAGAGAGCGCCCATTGAAAGTTAGAAATGTTTGTTTTTTTTTTCGGCAATGTGGCTGTGGATACGATGCGGTCATGGAACAAATCTGGGCCGCCTGAATATGCTAATGAGCTGGGATTGTAAAAGCAGCAGCAAAAGTGTAAAGATAAACTTATTAAAAAGCCATTATTAACTCTCTAACTTCATTAGATATTTATTTTTAGGTAAAAATATGCAATGGTCAGAACTTGAACAAAACTTTTACTGTCAAGATAATAAAGGTATACTGATATGATATCATTTTATTTACTTGCCTCAATCGAGAGAGAGAAAGAGAGAGAGGGAGAGAATCCATTTGCAGCTTTCAGTTTTATCTCATTTGCATTTCAGTCGTGCCAATTGCTTAGTCAACTCACATTTGAGACAATGTCTTTAAACTGAATACACATGACTTATTTTATTGCGAAACGAGTGCATAGCCAGGCAAAAAATGCGAATATAGCTTAATATCAGAGTAAAGCATTAACACATGATTTGTGCGGTCATAAATGAAATTGATTGTTAATGGAGGACAAGCAGACGCTTGTTTCTAAATGGACAAGAAAAAGGCTTCAGCAGGTGTAAGACAAATATATGTTATAAGAAATACGTATAAAAAAAGAAAAATAAAGAAAAAAGAAATCAGCTAAAAAAGTTATAGCCGGGCGTTAGCGACTGCAGAATACTCATTCACAACTGATGAATTTTCACCCAAATGATATAATATATATACATTATTTTATTTTTTTGAATCCAATGAAAAGGTCTATAGCATTTTGATCGTAAAATTTCTAGCTGTACTGTAGAGTATACAGATTTTCCCCTTTGTGTCATTTTTCCAATTGGCATATTTATATGCGCCATATACAATCACTCATAGAGTAGATATATCCTCCATTTACATTCTTTCATAGAGTATTTATTTCAAATGTTAACTCTCTGAGATGCAAAAAAATTTCCTTTTCCAATTTTTTACGTCCCTGGTGGCTGGATTGGAAAAATCACTTTATAAGACGAGGGTATAGGCAACTATATATTCAAGTCTCTGACATCTCGCTATATACTTTAAATTCATACAGACGAACGAGACATTGTAGACATTGCACAATAGCAATAAACCTCATTTACTTTCGTGAATGAGTATTTGTACATTTCATTAAAAATCTTGGCTAAGCCTTTACACAATTTCCAGTTCTCATGACTTGAAAGTTCAAAGTATTTTCAAGATTCGTTTTACAAAATAAAACAAAATTAATTGCGTATAATGAATGGAAAAACGCAAAACTTAATGCATAAAGGCAATTTTTTTTTTATAACTATTGTTGATCTTTCTCATACGCAATGTCTACAGACTCACATATGATCTTTGGCAGCTACGACTCGTCGTCCGTGGTGATTCTATAACAATGGCATATAAAAGTTACCAGTCAAAGCAGCACATAAATGTGAGAAGATTCTCAAACAGCATTTTTTTTTTCAACATTTTAATTAGAATTTTCAACAAATGCTGACGAAAGAGCAAAAGGCAGAGGAAACATAAAAGTCAACAATTTTTTGTGTGGCTTTAAAGCTTAATTCGTTGAGGCATTGCCATAATATGTTAAAACCTTTTTCTAACATTCATATTTTTGTTGTTGTGTGCGCTAACAGCTTCAGCGTTTCAATGAACTTTACCCAACACCGTTTTGTATGTCAAAGTTGAGAGACAGCTACGAACACTGGCTTGACTTTTATTATTTTTCAATTAGAGTGTAACCAAAAGCCCAAGAGCCCAAGAGCCCAAAAGCCAAGCCCAGCTCAAACGGCCACAGCCATTGGCTGTTCAATAAGCCGACTTACAACAAATGTCAAAAACTCTAAATCATTTGCGCCACACACAGAAAAGAGAGTGGCGACACTTTCTACTCGCACTCTGACTGAATGAGCTTCAAGTCCGACTTCGGACTGTGCGTGCTGCTGTCTTTAATCAGGTCAGCGTATAGGTAAACGCCTCGCCGTAGAAGTAGAAGTAGAAAAAAACAGCGCAAAAGAAATACAGCAGAAGAAAAAAATAAATAAATAAATGAAAGAAATATAAAAAAGAAATAACATTTATTAATAAGTTTGGCCAAAGGCCAAGCTACGTCGCTGATGATGACGGTTCTTGCCTGAGTTGGCTTAAATGAAATTAAATGAATTAAATAGAAACTTTTGATGGTGTAGCTTCCAGCAAGGGGTATACATAGAGTAGTATAATAGGGCGCTCGAGGCCATTTGCCGCTGCTGCTGCTGCTTCTTCTTCAGAGATCCACCACTCGGAATTGGGCCAGCAGCGTAATAGCTTCCACTTCTATCTGCGATTGAATTAAGTGTAACGCATTTTCAAGTAAATTGCCAAGCGCAACGGGTTTTTTAGCTGCTTCTTTGTTGTTGGCTTAAAGATGGGCCTGAAGAGCTGAAACTGCGAGGTTTCTTCAAGAGTTAGCAGCGTCTACAATTTAAATTGTTTTTCAGTTTTATTGAAAAAAAAAGAAAAAGTGTGAAATTTGATAATCTGAGCGCTCTGTTATTATCATTGAAAGTAAAGTTTCTATGTTGATTAAGATGGGCAAATCGTGCTGCACTCATATGCATGAGCTACATCGATCTAGGTAATTTTATCATCGCTGATCATCAGTCCGAAGAGCAACGCCTTTTTTTTCAATTTTTCATTTAATAATGCCTCAGTTTCCCACGGCATATGATTGGAGCTCAGCATTCATATATTTTTCCTGATTCCTATACTCGATCGCTTTCATTTTGAGGTTGAGTAGTAAACTTCATTTAAGCATTTGCGTAAGTAAATGAAAACATCTATATAAAAATGATCATTTATCAAAAATCATCCTTAATTTTGTATATATAAATACAAATTTGAATTTTTGTTTGAACTTGGCTTTTTTTTTTCCTTTATTCCCTTTTACTGAAACTCTTCTTGATTTACTCTTGGCTTTAAATGTATTAAAGTTATGTTTTACATACATTTACAATATGTATTCATTCCACTGTATTGATTTGTTCTTGATTGGAGACTTCAACTTTATCTAAGAAACACTAAGGACATTCTTAGAAACGGATTCGTCTCTTATATATATTTTTATAGATAACTCATACCGATATTTTTCTCTTTGAATAGCACAAAAGAACATTTCAAATTGAAATGAATAGGAAAGTTTATATTTTCTATTTCTGCTCCCCAGATTCTAACGAAATGTATTTCAAATACTTGAGCTTTATACTTTTGCATGCTCTACAAATTTTGATTCAGAAAGTCCAGCTAAAAAGAAAGTTATTCTACTATGAAGCTGTGTTTGTAAAGTTTTCAGTCGTCGGCGTAACCGGAGCGCCTGCCAATGTGTTCATGTGTTTGCGTGTGTTAAAATAGAGTATGTACAAAATGTAGAATCAAGTCCGAAAAAAAATAATTCTACCCGGAAACGACTTGAATGCGAAGTCAAATTCTCTAAATAATCGTTGAATTAATTTATATATTTATTCAGATGGATATTTAGTTTTTATATATGTTCTGGATTAAGATTTTTATTAACTATATTTATTAAATTACCTGCTTTAAAAACTCTTCCATTGTCAAGACTCTTTTCAACTTTTACTACCACTTAAATATCTCTGACATTTGTCACATTCAACAAAAAAAACAAAAAAAGAAAAACTAAATTAATGTAAATAAATATCACAAATTGCTCAAGTTTCAAATACCAGAGCAAAGCAAGACAGCAAATATTTGCCTTAAACATATTGAATAGCATAACCGAAACAAGTTTAAGCAAATTATATAATTGGTAAGAAAAAACAAATGAAAAGAAAAATGAGTTGGACCCAAAGTAATCAGCCAAAAACTTTCCGATTATTTACGCAGCTGTCACATATCATCACAGTGAGCACAGTTATATTTCAAATGGCTTTTAACTGGTTTTCATATTTGGGACCGGTAATTATCATGCAAAAGTTCACAAGAGACCAGGAACATGTAAGAGGCAAAAGTAAAAAGTCAAACAAAACAAAAAACAAAAAAACAGAAATTACGAGCACTTTGGGTGCTTACAGATATGGCGAAAACGACTTCTACACAGACAATAATAGAGCCAACTTAAAAGGTAGCTGACATTTGATGGGCTGCGGCCCGCGACAGAGCCTACCACAAATATGGCCAAGGCACGCGTGATTTATGGCCAAGTCGAGTGCGTTGTGCGTTTGTACGTTGTAAGCTCTACGCTCCATACGCATTGCCTATGGCGTCTCGGAGATCTATCTCGCTCCCGGCAAATTGCGTGCGGTTAAGAATGTGTGTGCGTATGTGTGTGTATGTGTGTGTAAAGGAGAATCATTTTCAAAGTGTTGCGAGTTCAACGCCGCCGCTTCATTGGGCTGGCTGTTCGGTTACGCTTGGTGGCGGCCAAAACAATTACAGTGCCGCGCTGTAGTTGTAGTTGTAGTTGCAGTTGCAATTTGCAACATGCAACACTGATCCCGACGGCAGCTAAAAACAATGCAGCCACTAACACAAACACCACGCATCGCATTGCCAATCAAAATTGTTAACATATTGTGGAAAGTAAAGGCTCAGAAACAAAAGCAAGCCAACTCAACAGTCTGGTACGAAAACATCAACAACATCGAGCTAGTTAAATACAATAACAACAACAACGACAATAGAGCTTGTGCACAGTGTGCGAAATCAAGATATAAAT